AGCAGAAACTTAGAAAAGGACCACTCTCAAGTCTGAAGATTGAAAAAAGGCAGACATCGACCGAGAGGGTATCATTCTGAAATGCTGTCTGCATAACACGCTTAAAAATCCAGTTCTTATGGAAATACTTAAGGCAGAAAACAAAAAGCTGAATCCTACAAGCAGAGTCAATGCTAGATCTTCTAGTCTTCCAGTCTTGTCTTCTAGTTCCAACTCTTTGGTCTTCTCAGCACTAGCCCAAACACAAGGGTCCCTCCCTGCTAGGCATCCTATTGTGAAGAGCAGCCTGTTTCAGCCAACTAAAAAGTCAAAGGAAACAGAGGAAAACTTCTGTGTAATTTTAACCTGCTTAGTAAAGGAGAGAGGCAGGGAATATGTAAAATTCAACTGCAGGAACAGGTAGGTTCACCAAACAGGAAAGAAAATAAAACCAGTATCCGCCTGCTCACTGCCTTTCCGTTCTGCCCCACTTCTTCCTAGCAACTACAATATCAAAAGCCCAATTGCTGCAGCTGCCTACGCAGCAATTAAGTGCAATATTCAAGATGTCAAGCAACACTACTGCCCATTACTTTGGCTGTCCTAAAATAGATAGTGAGCTCCACAGCAGGTAGGGAATTTTTGAAACATGGCAATCCACTCCAAAGGCAACAAACAGACGCTGAAGACAAGTTATGTTGTGTGAACATGCCAGTCAAACTGAGAGCCCAGATGCATTGAGGTGGGTGGATGGGTCCACTAGTCTAATCAGGTTTTAGACTATGACACAATACTATGTATTTGTCGTCTGTTACAGGTGAAGTGGGGGGGAAAATATGTCACTAATAAGATATCGATACGCTTCATTTTTAGTGAATTACTCGAATATAAAGTGTTTTCAAACTGCCCATTCACTTCAGTTCCAGTTACAAAGTAGTTCTGTTGCAGACGGGTGTCCCCGCTAGCAAGAGTCGAGCAGCACCAAGAGCAGCATGGCAATACCGCCACCTCCTCTGTCTGTCCTAGGTTCCCCAGGATGCCAAATTTTCTTGGAGGGTATCTCGCATTGCCGCCCTGTGGTCAGTCTGTAAAACAGCATCAGAGCAATAGGAAGCCATTTCCAGCTCTTCCTTCCCTTCCCTCCTCCTCCTCCTCCCCCCTCACCCCCCCCCACCCCCCCCCAAACTTCCTTCCCCCGGGCTCTCGAGAGCGTTTTGGCAGAACGAGGATAGGAAGAGGAAGCCTCTCTGAAAAGCTCTCTCCAGCCAGCCACAACTCCTGCTAATGCACTAGCGTGTCACTACCCTTTCCTGCTGAAGGTCCTGCCCTTGCCACAGTCCCCCAGCTGAAAGCCAAAGATGACTCTCCTGGGAGAAAGACAGAAATAATTAGAGTTCATCTTTTGCTATGAATAGTAAAGTTCAGAACATGAACAGCTGTGTCTTCATTTTGCACCTCTACCTTCACCACAACTGTGGTCTTTCACTCAGGCTCTAAAGGGTAGGCAACATGTTGTTTACATATGTCTGCACGAAACTGATAGCAAGCCTGCCATTAAACTCCCCAAGCTCACCATAGAATTTGTCATTTGCATGTTGGAGTTGAGAAAGACACACACGTGGGCAAAATTCATTATTTCCACTCTAAGTTCCAGTCACTTCACTGGCCTCATACCTTCCTTTGTCCAAGCATTTCCTCCATATACTCAACACATGGAGGAACACAGTCCAAGCCCTCCCTGCAACTACTCTTTGAATACAGTGATACCACAGAGAAGTATGGGGTTTTATTTATTCTGGGGTGCTTTTTTATTTTTACATTTTTTCTTACTGTTTTCCTAAGAGTCACTGACTGGGGTCTCTGCTGATCAAGGACTCTGTCCACAGGCAATTTACAAATACAGTATTTCTAGTGTAAGTCAGTTACCTGCTCAAACACTACCTACACAACAGGACAGAGGTCACAAGCACTTGTGACAAGTACATGCAGACAACTGATGACAAAGTTGGAAAGTAAAAGTTTCTCCCTTTGCCGCTTTTCCCTACCCCCCAGCCTCTGGGTCTTGCATTTTTAAGACAGAAAAGGAAAGCTGAAGAGTCTGCCAAGCAGACACAAGAGCATCAGGCAGGTCATGCTTGCCCTGTGCCCATGCTGAGGCTAGCTGTATAGGGAGATCAGCTGCACAGCAAGCTCCACAGCTCACAGCAGAAACCACATGCAGGAGCAGAACGAGGAGGAATCCCCAACTTGAACACAAGCAGTGCTAGGGAACAGAGTTTACAACAACAATAAAAGAATTTGAGGGATTTATTCTGCCTTGATCTATTAAAATGCCAAGGTAACTATTAAAAGCAATTGTGGGTAAGGAAACCCCACAGAATCACAAAGTTTGCTCTGAAGAGAGCCGTGAAAGTCTACCAACCTTAACTATGAGAAGGTTTGCACTCAAGCTGCCAGGGAGCTCACAGGAATTAGTGACAGCCCTGAAGGGCAATGAAGCTGAGCAGCAGCGGCTTACTTTTTTCTTTTCCCTGCAAGGCAAGGGAGCTATCAGAGGTGAGGAAGGATGCCACAGACACCAACAGAGGAGTCAGCGCTTGCTCAAGGCTCAGACTAAAGCAGGCACTGCAGCACACGGCCACTGCACAGAGGGACTGACACAGCAAGACAGTGAACACCTTGCCCGCAGTAGATTCATTGAGAAATGCTGGTGTCAAGAAGCAACACAATTTATTCAGGCCTGTACGTGATCTCCCCAACTTGTAAAGGAAGGAGTTATTTAGTCACTCCATAATTCCAGACTGGTTTATCAGCCACACATTCAGGTCTCCATGTTTTGGCTAACTGAAGTTAGCGTTCCAGTTGAGATTATGCACTGCTAAGGGGGTCATTAAAGTAACCTCTTTCCCAGGATTCAGCAGCACCATGAAGCATATAACCACTACAGGAATTTTTTTCCAAGTGTTCTCATTACACAAGAGCAGCAGCAGCAAGATACTGGAACACACAAAAAAAAGCACCTACATCTGGTGTACTGTCAACAGCAACAAAAAAAAAAGAAGCATCTAGAATACAACAGGTGTAGGTTAAAAACAACAGTACACCTGAACCAAAACTTAAGCAGTTTAACATAATCATGGAATTGAAAGAACACTTTAAAATACATCTATCAGGAAAGACTATACTAGAGTTAAACTTCAGAGGAGAACGTTGCAAACGTTAAAACCTGAGGGCATCCATGCTCATTAGAAGCATCTTGCAGCTAAAAGCTTAACCCTGAATGCCTGTGCTCAGATCTTAGGAACCAATGATCCTTTGCACCAGAAAGCACTCCCTGACATCCTTTCCGAGTAGCCAGTTCATTTGTATCTCGGCATTATGTCATATTTGCTACACTTTATGCCCTGCTCCGCATTTATAGTGGCTGCACAGCATAATACATCTCCCACACTAACAGCATGTTCACAAAAAGCATCTCAACGCCTTACCTATAGCTCATACACTGATGCTTAGGGGGGCGGGGAAAAAGAAAAAATAATTACATGTTGACAACCCAAGTTCAAATGCATCGTGTTTTGTCAGAGCAAATGCTGCTCTGCGAGGCAGTGCAGCAATGTCACCAGATTTTTTCTCCCTGTTGCTGTATTTCTCCACTAGAGGACTCACCTGAGAAGTCTACTACAAGCTTCTGCAGTTAAGCCGTTAAAAAAAACCAATCCCGACATGTGGATGGTACATGTAAAATGAATGGAAATGTACTAGTAGATGTAGCACATACAACACATGAAGACATGCTCCTATAACTACAGAAGAAATACGGCAAAGCTATTTAGCTTCCTGATATTTTATGACAGGTACACATGTTCATTTAAATGAAGATTAAATGTGAGAGCAAGCATGTCTGTGCTGGGTCAGATCAGAAGGCTACAGCCTAGCAGAAGTGCTGCCACATTCCAACACCAGCACTGCATATTAAGCTGGAAAGTAGCAGATAAACAAAGGGTAGAGAAGGTGGCAAAGAAGGGCTAGTATCAGCTATTATTTCCCAAATAAAGGGTCCCCTATACACAGAGGTGCTTCTATTTTATTATTTCTATACACAAGTGCACACACCCCCTGCACAGATTCAGCTCTCGTAAAACAGAGCATCACATAACCTCACCAGCTCACACCACGGCTTATCATCATGCCACCAAAAACAGCGGCAACGGCTAGCAACCTTTGCGGTGGATGATATGGGGGAGCCGTATCAGCGGAGCTCAACTGGTGTTAGCAACGGCAGGGAAGTAAAAATAAGGAATAATTAATTCTTGAGACTCCCCTAGTACGGAGGGGGCCAGAGAGGAGAGGGGAAGCTTGCCAGAGCAAGCCCTCGCTCTGCCCCACTGAGGCTGCCCGCAAGGCCTCGCAGTGAAGAGGGGACCTAGCGTGGGGCTGCTGCGAGCTAGCGAGGTGCCCAGCAAAGCCATAGCAGGTGCTGGGGGAGGGGGGGAGATGAGGCACTAAGGCACCCGGCAATGGGAAGCTTTGGTGCTGCAGAAGGAGAGGGGGCCTTGCCTGCACCAACGCATAGGGGCAAGGAAAGGTTGACCGGCACCAGGCAAGGGGCAGGGAGGGGAGGGCGGGATAAGAGAGAAACGCATCGATTTCGCGCAGCGGGGGATCTGCTTACCTGCGGACCAAACGGGAGGGGGGGAAAGAAGGTGACTGCGGCTCGAGAGCAGCAACTAAGCAAACTCTCCAAGGGAGCAGGGAGGAAGGAGAAAAAGAGGAAGAGGAGGGAGAGCAAAGAGACACATGGGGAGTCCGAGGCGCCTTGTGCGGCCCCGCTGCATGGCGCGGAAGGAGAGGCCAGGGAAAGCAGCGCTCGCTCCCGGGAAGGGACCGGCCGCGCCGTCCCGTGCCCCACCGGGCAGCACGCGGTGGCAAGAAAAGGCACTGAGGGGACGCCGGGGGCAGGGAGAGAGTGTCTGCCGGGTCCCACCTGGCTCCCTCCCCCCCGTCTCCCCTCCCTCACTCACCCTCTGCATGACTTTCACGATCAAAGCCAGTTCATAGCGGGGCATCTTAGAGCTGGCTGTGGCGGAAGGAGCGGGGATGCGGCGGGTCAGAGAGTGGGGAGGAGGGGGCAGCGATGCAGAGAGGAGGGGAACCGGAGGAGGAAGGCGCGGTGCTGGCAACGGCTCCTGCCCGCGCGGCTCCCAGGCTGCACAGACACCCAGGCGGGCAAGCGGGCGGCGCGGCTTAAAGGGCGCCGGCAGCTGCGCAGGCTCCGCCGCACCGCCCCCTCTCCGCGCCAAGCGCCGCCTCCGCCGCGCACACGCCCGCCTGCCGGGGGGCTGCCACCGCCCGCAGGCTGCCCCGCCGCCCGGGTCCGGGGAGAAGGGGGCCTGGCCGGCAGGGAGGGAGGGAGAGGAAGGGACCCTAGCCGCCGGGGAGCGGGCCTGAGCCGGGCTGGCCGCGCCGCAGGCACCGCCTCCGCCCCCACGCGGCGGCTCAGGGCCTGCGCCCGCCTTCCCGCCGCCGCGGCGGTGGCTGTGGCTGCTGCAGGGAGTGGAAATTTCCACTGTGTCCGCCCCCTCGCTCTCCCCCCGCCGCACACACACACACACACACACACACACACCCGAGACCGCACATGCTGGGGGGGGAGGACAGTGCAGGGGGCCCTACTCCTGGCTGCCAGCCGCGGCCCTGCGGCCATCGTCCCCCGGCACCTGGGTGGGCTGAGAGCGGCAGCGGGCTGCACGGCGAGGCAGAAGCTGCCCTGTGGTGGAGGGCAGTGTGAGGGTGCCGTGGAAGGCTGCGGCTGCATGTGTGGGGCACCCTCAGCTCTTCCAGAGCCTGCTACGGCCCAGTGCCTTGGCTGTCCCTGACAAGTGCAGGTGGAGGTGGTCCACCTGAAGTGAGGAGGGCTGGTGGGGTGGAGGTGGAACTGCATAGCTGGCCTTAGTGCCTGTGTGCTCCTGGAGGGAGTGAGGGAGCTTCTGGGCAAATGTTTCCCAGCTGGCGGTGGTCGGAGGGCACCCTCGGCATTGTACTCCCATGCAGCGATCAAGGTCAGGCACACAGATGCCCTCTATCAGCAGCACATCCGACACCAGCGTCCAGCTGTGGCTGTGCCAGAAGCTTGCATCCATCGAAGAGAGGCACTTGGAGAGCCTGGTGGTCCATCAGGCTTCTTTCAACAGTATTTCTTTCTTCCACAAAAGAAATTCCTCTGGGGGTAGCCTCCTCCCTCACACCTCAGCGTGCCTGACACACTGGGTGGCTTTGAGGAGGGCAAGCTCATGGCAGGTTTCTGCCCGAGGTTTTGAAGTCCACATCACATCTGCTCTCAGAAAAAGAGGGAGGCAGGGGATGGGCAAGCAAAGCCACCATGGCTGAAGAGGAAAGGGAAGCAGAGAAGTCAGAACTCAATTTTAAAACACTTAAGTGAAATAGCTATCTATGAAATCCCAGCCCTGCCCCATTGAGAGAGGCCTCAGCACCCGACCTGGGAACCCCAGCTATGCGCTTCTGCACCAACAAGCAGCATGGCTTGGTTTTGCTCTGCTTGCCGCTGAGTGATACTGTAACTGGTGAAACAAATACAATGTATTGCTAACTGAAAACGTTTCCCAGCACTTTCCATCGTGGTTTGCGGCAGAACCAGCACTACTGGTACTGCTGTGGGCCTTCCTCGTCTTAGCAGATGCAAGTTGTAGGGAGTTCCCTACGGGTACCATGCCCTACAGGCACAGCAAAGCCTGCTTGGGTGCTAGGAGTTGTTTTGTGTCCTGCTAGCAGTTCAGGATGAGTTCCCTGTGCAGAAGTATTTACATATATTCCCAAACTCCCACACCTCAGGCAAGGCTCGGGCAGTAATTGCCAGTCAGCTGACAGGTATAATTTGCTGCCTGTTGGTGCTGACCACATACAAGCTCTCCCTGGGTTACTTTACTTGCATTTTTTTTCCCAGCACAGTCTTATCTGGCCTGAGTTTCATCCATGTTCTGAATAGATGCCTGGTGAGTTCCAGTGGTAATCCAGGCACTTTGTAAATGATGGTCCCCAATGAAGGTGAGAATGGCCAGGTACCCTGCCATACACAAACAACTGGACAGCCATTCCCACATTCTCAGTGCACCCTGCCAGTGATGGTACAGTCACATATGAGCCATGCTGTTCTCTTCCCACATGAAAGCCTTATACCCTGCCGTGCTACCAACGGTCTACCTGCTTAAAACACTCCTTTGCCTCAAAAAAGGAAAAGGATTCAATCCCTGTTGCTGAAGTCTTTCTCAGACACAGAACTTTATGCAGATCCCCAAGTCTATATACCGAAATATCTAGTGACACTTTCAAATGCCAATATTTGATTCTCAGTTGGTTATACATTTATATTCACCATTCAAGCTTACTTCTATGTTCCACACGCAAGCCCCACAAATATACATCTGTGCCTGGGATTTGCTCACGCATGCAAAAACACCTGTGCATCAGATCTAATAAACATGCTCCCAGACAGGCATTCCTATATATACTCACTGAGTGAGATCTGTGTGCCTGAGGGTCTCTTTTCCTATGAATACAGGCTGAGAGAGTTGGGCTTGTTCAGTCTGGAGGCAAGAAGACTCTGGGGACACCTTACAACAGTCTTCCAGTACCTAAAAATGGCTTACAGGAAATCTGGAGAGGGACTTTTTACAAGGGTGTGTAGTGACAAGACAAGGAGGAATGGACTTAAGCTGAAAGAGGGTAGATTTAGATTAGGTAGAAGGAAGAAATTCTTTACTGTGATGGTGGTGGGACAGTGGAACAGGTTGCCCAGAGAAAGTGTGGCTGCCCCATCCCTGGAAGTGTTCAAGTCCAGGCTGGATGAGGCCTTCAGCAACGTGGTCCAGTGCAAGTTTAGATTGGATATAAAGAAGAAGTTCTTTACTGTAAGGGTGGTGAGATACTGGAATGGGTTGCCCAAGGAAGTTGTGAATGCTCCATCCCTGGCCATGTTCAAGGCCAGGTTGAACGAGGCCTTGGGTGACATGGTTTAGTGTGAGGTGTCCCTGCCCATGGCAGGGGGGTTGAAACTAGATGATCTTAAGGTCCTTTCCAACCCTAACTATTCTATGATTCTCTGAAGGTGTCCCTGCCCACAGAATCATAGAATCAACGAGGTTGGAAAAGACCTTTTAAGATCATCAAGTCAGACCTCCACCCCAGGACTGCTAAGTCCACATTCATGGCAGGGGGGTTGGAACTATATGATCTTCAAGATCCCTTCCAACCCAAACCATTCCGTGATGATATGAAATACAGTGATTGTCTGAATGCCACACATTTATGGACATCAGTTCTCATGCATCATGCCTCTGTATAGCTATGAACACTCATGGACTGACTACCACATATGTCTCCGATGCCCCGTATCTTTATGGGAGTGCCTAATGCTTTCTGACTTTCTTACTACTGGTCCACCAGGTTTGAGGTACCAGTAATCTCACAAGTTTGTTTTTTCTTCTAAGCGCTAACCACAAGTATCCAAAGACCATAAGAAACTCACATTTAATATTTAAAACTTCGCAGTTATGGAGGAAGGTCTGAAAAACACATAGTGGCCATGCCCTAAATACTCAGTAAAGAAATATAAACTCCCCTAATACAGGCGGGTTGGCTCTCAAAACTTTTGACCTTTGAGGGGCTTGAGTCATGACTTTTTTATGCTTGAGATTGGGTGTGCTACAAAGGCAAACCATCTTCTCTGCATCTTGGTATCTTTCACATCCATCCCTATGCAGCACAGAGGGCACTAATGAATAACCTCACTCTTTCTAATAAAGCGTAAGATAAAAATATGTCCTCATGCAATCCATGTACATATGTAAATACAGAACCTGTTCAGTGAAAAAGCTATTGGAAAGGTTTTAGGCAATTAAAAGATGGCATGGGATATCTCATAGATGTCTGACAAAGAACCTAGCCCGCACAGCAGGATTAAGAGAGGAAATGAAAGAAAAAACACTGCACTTTTGAAACCTCAACATTACCATTAATAGCCTCGCTAAGCACAACTGTGTTGTGCTTCAGTGATCTTTTTTTTATGTGGAATATACCTAGTTTTGCAACATATACTTTGTGCACCATGGAAAAGCCAATTCTCTCCTCTTAAAAGCTTTGATTTCTAGCTGTGATATGTTGCGCAATATCAAAGTAAAGTCAGAAATTATACAGGTTTAGGACTCTCATGTTTACTGTCTTGAATTTCAGATTGGGACAGATTTTCAGAGGAGTTAGTAAAAAACAGGAATTGCCTGTGGAAAGAGAAATTACACTGCCAAGTGTGGTTTTCTTTGCTTGTACTGGTGTTTGTCTATGGACTATAGATAGGGATACAAATACAGATACATGCCTATTCTCCCCAGTATTTACTCACCTCCTCAGTAAGGTTTGAAGATGAGCACTATACATTTGAGATAACAGCAGATGAACTAAGGAGTACAAAGCCTGCATGGGAATAGCTGCATGGCTCTGCAGTCATGGCAATGACTGTGGTCCTGACATACGCCAGAGAGGTGACAGGTGGAGCTGAGTCAGAACAGTGAAATATCTGGAGTCGTCTGGTCCCAAGGGAGCAGATGAGCGAGCAAAGCTGCAGTGAAGGAGGCAGTATTAATAGGTGGGGCTGTTGTAAGCTTGTACACAGAGCTCCTGAAGTTTCTGGTTTGGAACATGGCTCTTAGACACGTGAGCAGGGTTGCTTCTGGAGGCAGGACTGAAAGGAAACAGAGCTGAGAAATGAAGGAAAAGTGGGATTGTCAGGGTAAAGTGTGGGCAAGAGGGACCGCAGCAGGGACAAGAGGGAATGACTGTGGAGGTGTCTGTGATGTGGGCCTAGGATTTAATGAGAGGGTATAGAAGAGAGGGTAAGGAGAAAGGGGGAAGTAAGATTGGATGGAAGAAGACTTGGATGGAGAAAGACTTGGCAGTCTCAAAGACTGGGACAGGGAAAATGGGGTAGTAGGAACCTGAATGGCCTGTTCTAGAAGAGGACAGGAAGAATCATGCTTTTCATACCTTCTAATAAAACCACAGATCTCTAGATTCCCCACCCCCACTCACCCCCCACCACGAGCCCTCCTCTGTCAACAAATACCCATGAATCCCCCAGCAAAGTCCATTTGTCTAATATCCCTGCTGGCCACCCATGGATGACAACCCACAGCTCTTATCAGTTTCTCTGTTAGCTTAGAGTGGCAGAGAGCTCTGTGGTAAAGCTAAAGGGTTCAGCTCTAATGACATTTACAATGGTATGATGCTGCATGATGGAAGGGGGTTTGATTTATTTTTTTTTTACTGTTTGCTTTTTAAAAAGCTAGATAATTGCACAGACAAAATCTGCTTTAAATGAGGACTAGGTTGCAAAATCAATACTACATAATGAGGAGTGTTATTTTCTCCTTCCTCTCCTTTGCATATGCATATGCAAAGTGTATAATTGCATACTTTTCTTTCCATGGGATCTCTGCCACATTTATTTGTCAGGGTGGAGCTGCTCTGGAGCTGTGTCAGGACAACACAGTGGAGGAGGCCACTGTCTACAGGAGTTTTTCCACATTTGTTTCAGCAAATGGAAGATGTGCGGTAAATGACAGTACAGGATCATGTGGAAAAGGATGAGATGTTGGTTAAAATAGCTGAGCTCTGCCTGAGGAATGGATTCAGTCCATCCTTTGCCACATAGTTCTTGTATGATGCTGGATAAGTCAGTTAAACCGCACTTCTTGCAGGTGGCTACAAATTTCATGCTCCTAGTTTCTGCATATCTGGATTGACATTTTGTGGTCTAATTTGAAGAAGTTCTGAATGATCCCAGATGAAACTGATTTCAGTGGGGTGCTAGACATACAAAGTGTCCTGAATGAGGAACATACCAACTTCTTCAAATACTCACTGGAAATATTAACTGTCTCAGACTGAGTAAACAGAATCTACAAAACCTTAAACTACACATAATTCCCACCCAGGCCCATCCCAAAGCCACTGCACCCAGGGGGTAACAAAATGTATCTAATGGCTTCTTTTCTATGGAAAGAGGAGGAAAAGGCATCTTGTTTGCTGCTCAGCCTGACATCCCAGAAGGTGCCTGCCCACCACAAACCCA